TACTACCCACGTTCATCAATTCCCATATCCCTTCTGAATCCTTCTGTGGGTCCATCTGAGTCTGTTTGGTTTCTGTGCTGGGCTTTGCTGAGTGCAGACACCCCAGTGACACATAATAAAGCACAATTTTCTTTGTGGTTTAGGACTTTGTCTCCTCAGACCTGGAACAAACAGGAGTACAGCTGATGGAGTGTAAATAAACCCCTGAGCTTGCTGGTGTGAGTTAAAACAGAGTTTAAAGAGGTTTTAGTGACATTTTCAGCTCAGTTAACTCTTGCTGCCTGTCTGGCTGCTGGTCTGACTTGCTCAGTTTAGTGCTGAGAGGGAAAGGACAGGAGCAGGCATCTAAAGCACATTAATTGTATTTATCCAATGATTGGATGTGTTCAATTTTACAGCACTTATCAAAGCAGCCTAGAAAAGAAGGGTGAGTCTTAATTCAGCTCTGCTCTTACAGACTGTACGTGTGTGTGGCATGCAGTTGTCTTCTGTGGTCTTCTGGACCCTTTTTTGCCTTTTTCTGCAGACAGTTTTTCCCCTTTTCTGACCTCTGGAAGCCTATAAGCTGAAGAACTGTGCTGATTTATAGAAAGCAAGTGGAGATCTGTTTTCTTTGAACATAACCATTAGATCTGCAGAAACTTAGGCACTTTGAAATTACTTATGTACTTATCACTGTTCTGCTGCCTAAATTCCTAAATGGGAGATTGCAGAGAGAATGGTTTACAAAATCATTGTGACTGAGGGAGAGAGCTGAAAATAAGAATATTTTCTGACTGAAAAGGACACTTCTCTGAAGGGTGAAAGGGCAGTTCAGTTCACCCTCTGTCACTGCTGTGCCCACATTTGTCCTGCAGTGACAGAGGGACAGTGAGGGACAGTGTCCATCCCTGTGAGGGACAGCCAGAGGCTGAGAGGGGCCAAAGGAGCTGGAAAATCCCAACCCTTCAAAGCACCCCAGGCTCTGCACTGCTGGGTAATTCAGGATAAGGCTGAAGACTTCAACCTTTTTATTTCTAATTCTTTTTAATTGCTTTATTTATTAATAAATTACCATTTCTAAGTAGTGCTGCTGCCTCCTGGAGGAAGCTGGGAACAGCCAGTGCCACTGTAGATCCTGTGGTTTTACTGCTCCTTTTCCAGGGGAACTCAGAATTTCTGCGTGTGCCAGCACAGCATTTCAGCAAACTGGGAGCTCACATCCAGGGATGTGTGTGAGGCCAGCTCCATTTTGTCAAAATCCTGAAAAATGCTTAGTTCTACAAGTGCTGTATTAAAATGAGGCAGGGGCTCAGCAGCTCTCACAAGGCTGCAGCTTTTCCTCTCTGCAATTAAAATTGCTGCAGCAGCCACTGATGGAGTGTCACTGCAGAAATCCCAGCTAGGCTGTCCTCTCAGGGAAGCTTTTTTCTCATATAAGCAGAGAGGGATTTAATTTAACAAGGAAAACCTAAGGAATTGCAAACTAATCTCTGCAACCTTCTATTTCTTCCATAATATGTATTATAAGGGTTTTTAAAGATCAGACCTTGGCACAAAGAAAAATGCTACCATCAGATCTATCAGAAATAATGACTTTGTAAGAAAGAAATTTGTGCCTCATCGACTGGGGTGTGAAGATATGATTTCCTTCCTTGGAATTGCTTAAGCTACAGGAATTGGAGAGTAAACATTTCATGCAGTATGATCCTTTCCCAAGTCAATATTGTCCTTTCAATCCTGAATTTCAAATTCAATATTATCCTCCCTTAAACAAAGGCATGCTTGGAAATCAATGCTATTTATCTTGTCTACTGTAGCTATAAACATAGTTTAAATTTTTTTATAGATGAAAAATGCTCATGGACTGAAAACAGCAGAAAGACAAATTCTTCCTATTTTGCTGGTTCCTGGTGTCATTGCTGAGGGTGCATGACAACAGCCACCAACAAAATCCCCATCTTCAAGTGGCACCATTGCTCCTTGCACTATCTGGCTGCTATTGGGTTTTGTCTTGTGCTTTAATAAATTTATAACTAAAAGCAAAACACAGCATTTAAAAAAAAATATTTCCCGGTTATCATCTGGGGTAAATTTTTTGTTGCTGTGATCCTTCCTTCAGGGTCTGCTTTTTTTTTTCCCCATGGTTTTCCAGGTGAATTATTGGATATCATTAGAGTGATAGATCAGAGTGAGCTAAAGTAGAAAATGTTTCAAAAAGTCCACACTGCTTAAGGGGAGACTCACACTACATTAATTAATTAATTTATTTATTTATTTAAATTGAGAAAACATCAGAAAAAAGACATCTGAGGAATGGAGAGAAGACCAATAATGTTATTTGGGAGTCACTAAAAGTCTCTACAGCATTGCTGCAGGTAGAGGTTTGGCCTTGCCCATCAAGAACAACCTTTAAGCATTCCATACTGGTTAATGGGCTCTCAAACCAGTTATCCCAGCATGGCCCCAGCTGCATGTCCTACAGGGATGAGCAAATCCAGGGCTTTATCCTGGTGGGTTTTTTCTTTCCATGCACCCCTCAGACAAGCTGGCTCTGGTGCTCTCAGATCCAGCAGAGAAATCACTTTTTTTCCCAAAGGAAGTTTACTCCAGTGACATCCTGTGGGCAGGAACCCATCTGGGACATGTTTCAGGGACTCAGAGCAGTGATCAAGGGCTGGGGTTGAATAAACAAAAGGTAAATAGAAAATACCACACACGTGGTGAACATAAGCTACAGAGCTACAGGCCCCATAGGGCAGGAGCCCAGTTATTTCCTGAATTTTGCAATGTTTTGTACTATTTAAGGAGAGTGGGGTTGGGTTTTGGTTGTCCTTTCTACTGTGTTGTGGTGAGCTCTTAGTAGTAGAAGTTACAACAGGAAACCAAAAAGGAGCAAATAAGACAAAGACAGAAGTGATTGTTTTCTGAATATTTGGAGCTCAGCAAGTAAATTATGGAATTCTCTGCCAGCCTCCAGTGCTCAGCCAGCTGTTCATAAAATACACAAAATAACTGCTCTCTGGAGCGACAGCAGGGCAGAAAAGTGAATTGCAACTATCTCTGTTTGAAATGCACTCAGATTCCTGTCCTTGGAAACTCTGGGACTTCTCCATGGTATTTGGACCTTTGGGATCTGAAGATTTTCTTGATTGCCTGGACTTTCTTTTTGTTTGGGGTGGTTGTGGGCAGTTGAGGACAAAATCCACACTTGGACTTCTGACCTGAAGACAACAAAAGCAGACAAAAAGCATCTGTGGGTTCTTTCTGATTTCATGCAAAAGGCTGGGAAATTTTTGAAGCCTTTTGAGCCAAGTTTAGATCACAAATTTAACTGCACAGTGGAGCAGAGCAACCCATGGGTCTTTTCAGTGGCACAAGTGTAGTACTTAGCATTCAGATGAGAACTCGTGTGCTGAGCCAAACCCAATTATTTGCAAATGAACCAGTGCCACACATCCTCAGGGGGAGGGCTGCAATACCAAGTGCTGGTTTGAAATGTCATCTTTTCTTTGGGAGAATTCTCTATAGATGAAGTTAGCTATTTTCAATCTAATTTTAGACAAACAGAAATAGGAATTCACTGGAGTTAGCAGAGAAAATTCTAACTCTGATCATCAAAGCCACGGCAGATTTCAGCCTGCTCCATTTTGAAAGTCATGGCAATGTGAAAAACAGGCTTTTCACTAAGGTTTGGCATTGTAACCAGTGCTGGCACTCACGGGCAGTGCTTTAATTATACATTATACTAACCAGTGTGAAATACTGAGCCTTATTAAGATAGCCAAAACCCTTCTTTAGAGCTGATTTATTAGAGCTTGAAATTAACTTTTCACAGTCCAGCTCCAAGAGATCCGTAGATACAGAAGTTCAGCTGTGCCTGCAGCGAGCTGCCCATGGTTCTCTCCAGGGCTCTCTCCAGTCCCTCCCAGTGCCCAGGCACGGTAAAACCCTGGTCAGCAGCAGCAGCTCTCAGCCTCCATCCCAAACACCATCCCTGTGCTGCTTGGAATGCTTTCTGGGAAAGTGGAGCTTTAGGAAGCCACCCTGGGCTCTGCTGGGTGCTCGGGGCTGTGGCTGCCCCAGGCTGGCTCTGCTGGAGCTGTTCCACGCTGGGGTGATTGCAGATGAGCGTTTTTGCTGCTCCTGACACAATATTTGTCAGGATATCAGGATATTGTTAGGAACTGTTAAAGCAAGTCCATCATCTGCAGATCTCTGCCAGCTGAATATGGGGAGGAGCTCCCAGCCTGACGGGATTTTAAATTTTTCTCTCAGCAACCTGAAAGCATTTTCACATTTCCAAACTCCCAAGTATCAGTTCTCTGATTAAATCTGTGGATCAGGGGCTCCCACATCTCGTGCTTTGTTTCTGCTTGATGCTGCAATGAAAGGCAGAGTTTGGAGCTCCAGGTGCTGCAAAATAAAACTTCCTCCTCTTGAGGATGGCAAAAAGGGGGAGCAAGGCACTCAGTGAGGGGGAGGCTGGCACAAAACTTGCAGTATATCTGGATTTAAATGGTGCTGGGCTGGGAATGTTGTCCTATCGTGCTTTGGATCTCTCTACAAATAGCACAAATAAACATTTTGGCTTTAAAATTTGTCACCAGCATTGCTCAGGAGGAGTCACAGCTCTACATGTGTGCTCATACCCAGTGATTCTTTGAGGTTTTAGGCTCTGTGGGTACCAAGGCATCCCCCAGGACAGGCAGTGGTGTCACTGCCCTGCCAGTGTGGCACGGGGTCACCTCTGCTCTTATTTTAGATGTGGCTGGGTGGGAAATGCCAAACCTCCAAGAACTTGCATGGGATTTGTTTGGGGTTTTGATCTCTGTTTTTTGGGTTTTTTTAAATAACTCTGGGGCTGTTGTGTGATGAGCAGCAGCCCGAGGGGAAGCAGGAGCACATTAACTTGGGGTGGGGGAGGCAGAGAGGCAGAGCCCCTTTCTGCTTCAGCAAAGCTGAGCCCCTCAGAACTTTGCTAATTAACAAGGCAATGAACGACTCTGCTCTCTCTGCAGGTGACCTGTCTCCACGATTTCTTTGGGGATGATGATGTGTTTATCGCCTGTGGCCCAGAAAAGTTCCGCTATGCACAGGACGACTTTTCCCTGGATGAGAGCGGTAACATCAAACTCACACTGCGCTTTTATTGCATTTCCATCCACATTTCCTATCTGATCATAATGCTGCATGCTTTTCTTCTGGTTTTTAAGACCCAGTCCATGGAATTTTACATCCTTTTGGGATACTTATCCAGTCAGCAGTACTATAATCAGGCAACTACTGACTGAGATATATTCAGAATAAATTAATTCCTACAGCATTTTGACATTTACTGCAAAATCTGGGAGTGTTTATACTTTCAATTTTCTCCAATCACATTCAGATAGATGCATTTTTCTTGAGAACTAATCATCCTTATGTAGACACATGCATATTAAAAATGGAAACAAGCAACAGTTGGAAAAAAAGATCACATTTCCACTGCTTACTTCAGCTGATTCAAAAAGCAGAGCAATAATTCCCTTTTTGGGGGCATGACCGGGACAGCACTGTTATTTTTCCTTGTCACCATTGCCAGCAGAAATCTGTAATGATGTGAGTCTCTGTGATCAATTATGCCATGAAATCTTTGATTTTACAGAATATACAGAGCTTGCTTGTAGGACTTACCACCCACCCTACCTGGCAACTGTATCCACCTGTCTGCAGGTGCCAGCGAGTGCAGCAAGAGGAAATTAATGTAATTTTAACCATTTAAACTAAAAAAATATGGTCTCTAAACATCTAGGCACACTTCCCAAAGCTCTAGGTGTGCTGTGTAAGGAAGACGAGCCCCATCCTGTCCTATGTGCTGCAAACTGGCTCTGTTTTGAGGACCAAAGAGGATTTTTGCTGGATGCCAGGAAGCCAAACAGCCTCTAATCTCCAACCACCGGGTTTTTTATTACTCCTTTGCAAGCCTGATTTTATTTTAGTGCTGGTACTTCTGACCTGTGTACTCCAGATGAACCCATTTGGTGGTCTTGGGATAAGTCAAAGGAAGTTTCCAAGGTTCAGCTGAGACTTTGCAGGCAGAGAATAAAGCCTGTGTCAGGCTGGGGAAGTGATCTGTAAGCTGAGCTTCACCACTCAGCACTTGAGTCAGCTCCACAGGGAGCTCCAGGCTGGAAAACAGCTTGGATGCAGTCCTGGCAGAACAACTGGATGGAAAGCCCAGCTCTTCTGGGCACTGCTCACTTCTGCAGCTTGGATTTCTCCGGCAGGAAGAAGCCAAGTTGCTGTTGGGAAGGCACTGAGCTGCTCCAGAGGTGTTCAGGGGAGCCTGGCAGCTCTCAGGGAGCCTCAGCAGTGCTTCCCCTGCACATCCATCACCCTTCCTCCTTCCCAGGCAGATGCTGCCAGGAGAGCTGTAAATCCTGAGGTTTTGCAGATGAGTGTCACTTAATAAAATCTCCTCTGTCATGGGCAAATTTCTCTTGCCTGTTTGGATGACACACACCAGGATTGCTGGTTATTATGTTCACTCTGGCAGGACGTCAGGAAACAAAAAGAGGAACAGCACAAGAGAGGATTATGTCATCTTTTTCCTCCTGGCTGCTCACCACATCTTCCACCCTCTAATTCTGCTGCTGAGCACCTTCCAGATGACATTGCTCTGTCCTTTTTGTTCTCACTGGTTTCAGCATGATGGAAATGTCACACTTTGGTGACATTTAGAGGCCTTTTCACACCAACCTCAGCACAGCCAGGTTTCCACCTCCTGCAAAAGCTCAGGGATTGCCTCTGGTGTGCTGACACTTGCCAAGGGCTGAGCTGGAGGAATTCCTCAGAGTCAGCCTTTCTGTGCTGGAAAATGCAAAGCCAGGTTTCCTTCCAAGGAATTACTCCCCTGGGAAGAACATAAATCTGGAATCTCTTGCAAAGACCTAACATGAAGTATTTCTACTTTTCAGTTTTGGGTTTTTTTTGGTAAACAATTCAGGTGACTAAACACAGCTGCCTGACACCCTTTGAGTCCTCCCACAACATCAGTACTGCTCTTCATGTATAAAAAATTGGGGCTATATTGGGGCTGGACCTCTACAAGCCTTTCTGTGACATTATCTGTGAGAATTCAAGTATTTTTGGAGGAAAAAACCCCACAGCTTTTTCTACCTCTGATTTACAATTTCCAAAATTGATGTAGCAGGAGAGAAAACAATCTGACTGTAGGTTTAATTCTTGCCATGCAGCATCCCTGGAGCACAAGGCCTCCTCTCCTGACATTCTTTTGCTGCATGGCCCAACAGCAAAACTCTTTCTCAAACCATCCGGAAGGAGCAGAGGTGGAGCCTTGGCTGGCTGAGAATGAGGAAAGCCTGGGGAAAAAATTAAGGCAATTACATTTTCGTAGATACACTGATATAAAATTAAATAACACATACATTTAGGTCAGACAGTTTGCTTTTGGTTGACCAATTATTTATCTGCTCTGTGCTGCCTTAATTCTTTTGGGGACTCCATTCCAGGAGGTCCCCAGTGTGGAGCACGTGGGGCTGAGCTGAACTTTCCATAAAAAACTGCCTGCCTGTGGAACACGTAATTCACATCTGTAAAAAGGACACATTTTTCACATCTTGGTGAAGACAAGCTGTTGGAGAAGATGAGGTGGAACCAGCTAACATTTGACAAAAAGGAAATCCCTTTTTTATTGCCTTCTTTTTAACTGGGTTAAGTTAATAACTTGAGGGGTGGAAAGTTCTTTTTCTGTTAGCTCTCAATGTAAATAAAGCCTGGTTCTGAAGATCAGGCATGCCTGAAATCCTGGACACGTGGAGGTTTGTTAGCATTTCACTTCCCCTCTGCAGGACTCTGTAGATCATGTTTACATTTTCCACTCTTCCTGGCCTGTTTATTTTTTAGGAAAGCACAATTGGGGTCCTCATCTGCTCACATCTTCCAGTACATAAATCTGCTGGGCTTGTTTACACAAACCTTGCTGAAAGGGTCGAGTGGCCAGGACAGAGGATGTGCTTTGTAAAACCATTTTGTCTCCTTTGCTTTGTGCATCTGAAAAGCTGCAGCTTGTTGAGGGCAGGAGAGGCTGGTTCCAGCTGGGTGAAAGCCTCCTGGGGCAGCTGCCCCATCTGCCACTTGGAGACTTTATTTACAGCACACCATAAGCTGTTTGCTGGTTTTCTGCACCTGCAGAAAGGGCACTCACCATTCCTGGTACTGGGTCTTCACGGAAGGGTGACAGCAAATTAACTGGATTTTCTTGGCCTGAGTGTTCCCTTAGTCAGAGAACATTTTCGTTGTGCTCATGAGAGTTCAGGGAAGGGGAAGGGCAGAAAATGTTTGATAGGACAGAGGTAGGAGCCAGCCTGACACTCACAGAGTCTCAGCACCTCCTCTAGAGGAGCAGAGCTGTGTCACTAAAGGACACGTGAAAGCACAACACGAGACACTTGCTATTTGCAAGGTAAAGAAGAAGAAGGTTTATTTTCTGACTCCAACTTTTATACTTTTCCAAAGGTGACAGTGGATTGGAGAGTGAATGTTCCACCTCTCCAAAGACATTGGACAAACCACTAGTACATCAAGTTTCTCCACCTCCATGAAGGAATGCAAAACAATAGGTTGTTTATAGAAAATTGTGTGAGAAAGTTTTCTAACAGAATGTAAACTCAGAAGGCTTTAGAAAATCTTAAGAATCAGGGTGACAGAGCTGTTCTCTTTGCCCTGCCCTTGAAGAGTCTCCTTTCAGCCCTGGAGAACAAGGGATGGTAGCAGCTTTTCCCTTGCCCTCGGTGTTTCCTGCATCTCTCTGGGGACCAGGCACGGAGCAGGGAGCAGCAGGGCCATAACCAGGTGGGTCTGTGTTTCCCCAGAGTGCCGGGTGATGAAGGGGAGCCCAGCAGGTGCCACGGGCAGCAAATCCTCCCCCACCCCTCAGAAGAGCTCGGCCAAGAGCCCCGCGCCCATGCGCCGCAGCAAGTCCCCGGCCGATTCAGGTAACCACCAAGATGGTGAGTGATTGCTTCTTGTGTCTGGCTTCCATGTGCTCTCACTGTTCCACTTTGTGCCACTGGAAAGGCACAAACTCTCTCTGTTTGCAAAGGAAACTTGGGTGTCTTTTGGAAACAAGAAGCTACAGGGGTGCTTAATGAAGATTGGGAAGGAATCCCCTGGTTGGTGAAATGCGGTTGTGGCTTGAGGTTGTTCCAGCCACACTCTCACAGCCTCCTTCCTCAAAAACATTTTAAAAGAAGTTTCTATTCCCCAGGCAGGAAATCAAGGCCCACAGTGCTCCCAGATGATCCCTGCAGATACAGATTTAGGGTAACCTCCTGTGCAAACAAATGGTGATTATTGCACAGGTCAGGAGTGGCTCCTCTCAATCATTACTTAAAGGAGACCGGTGACCTTGCAGTTGCAGAACTGCTGATGGGTTTATTGATGTGACACTGAGACACTCATGCAGTAATGGAAGAGAGGGAAAATGGGAATCTTAATTTGCTGCAGCAGCTTGCACCGTTTGAAATGCCTCCCTCTTCCTTCAGTAGCACCTGGGTTGGCAGCACACGTGGAGAGCTGCAGGGCTGCCAGCCCAAGGCCGGGCTGCACAGTGCAGTAATTCTGGTAATTGATAGTTTTTAGAGTCATGGAGAGTTTCTGGGGTTATGACTGATCTCTCACCTGCCTGCCTGCTCTGTTTCAAAAGAGAACCAGACATGGTCTCTCAATAAAATGGCCAAATTATCATTAAACATGTCAGAATTCCAGGAGAGCTTCACAGCTTGAGTTTAGGTGTCCCACAGCATCCACACAGGTGACAGAAACCAGAAATTCCTTTTCACCATCATGCTAACATGCTGCATATTGCATGGCAGCATCACGTAACAGCTGACCATCAGTAGAAATGGGATTCTTAGACAGAAAATTCTCTTGGCAGTAGTCAGAAGGATTTTCCCCAGGAAGCAGTTAATTTGTTCAGGTTCTGTGGGTGTTCTTCAGCTACCTAAAGAGACAGTGTGAGATTGGTTGGAAAATGCCAAGACTCTGTATTTTTTAAAAAATTATTTCTCTCTAAGTGATTTTGGATTCATAAAGTTTTTCTTCAAGATTCCATTGTTGGCTCTCAAAGTCGGGCTTGTCTGAATTTAACCACTTTCACAACCCCAAATGCCTGCTGAAGCTGTGTGGGCACACTGAAGGCACGATGGGAAACGTGATGTTGATTTACAAAAACCCAGAAGTAACACTCAGAGATGGGGGAGTCAGCTCATGCATGAGCAGCTTTAAACCTTCTCCACAAGCATCAGGTGCTGATTGCCACCAGAATTAGAGTTTACTGCGTGAGCATAGAGTTTAATGTGAAATGGCAATTATTGTGTGCCTGATTTTAACTGACTGAGCGACTCCAGGCCCAGGATGGTGACTCATCTGATGAGCTTTAATGAACACACTTAGCAGAGCTTTTCAGGGGGAGATTAAAACAACCAGAAAGGCTGAACAATAACCAGTTCCTGGAGTTAAAGTCAATAATGAAGAGCAAATCAGGTTTCTTTAATCTGTCCAGACAAGAGCCTTTCATGCTTTCCTGTAATTTCAATAAAGGAAAAAAAAATGCCCCTTGTCCTGCTTAATGAGAATAAAAAAGACTGATCTCTTTTAGTACTGAAAAATAGAAGACTCTTGTTTTCTCAGGACAGAGAGAAAAAAAATACCATTTTGTATTCTTGTATTGAATTGGTAATAAATTAAGTGGATTTACACATCTTTTAAGAATCAATATTTACATTTAGATGAGATTTGGAGTTGCCACATTCAAAAAGCAAAGAAAGCTGAATGAAGTCTGATTAATAAAAGATGATCTGACCTATTTCTTCCCCCCAGAATCTCACTCATTTAATGCGTGAAACTATTTAAAAGCAGTTTTACTTCAAATATATGCAATATTTCTGCTGTGTGTTTGCACTCCTACCCATTTGTACCTTTTGTCTTTGCTGTCTTTCACTCTGCTGTGGTTGTCATGTGGAAACTCACGGGTGTTTCCTTGGTTTTGTGTTGTTTCTGTTCTTTCCAGTTCTTTTCTGCGTAGGTTTCTGTATCCTTTTTTCCCCACCAAAGGCTCCAAGGCCATTGTGACATCTCTGGGCACTGATGCCTGTGCAGGTTTGGAGGGAAATCTTTGGGTGAGAGGAATCTGAACCCACCTCACCATGAGGTGTCACTGTGAAAAGCTCAATCCCTTTAGGCAGCCAGAGCCCTTCAGCTCCCAGGATATCCAAAAAAAAGTGAGGTGGCAAATCCAGAGAAGCAATTTAAACATTGTTTTCTTGGCACGGTGCTTTTCTCTTACCATGCAGTTGTTTAAATGAATGAATGAAAATTAAATGAATGAATGCAGAATAAAGAAGTGGCTCTTTGCTCTAAGGAGATGGGAGCTCACCCCAGTCTTTGTATTCCCAAGAGAAATCCTTCCTCCCTTTTCTCACTTACACCCAACCCACATCTGCACCTCCTAAGCAATGCCAGGGGATTTCTGGCAAAATTGGAGTTACAAAGCTTCTATGTATTTCTAACCTCATTTTTTCTTCCTAGGGAGTCAGCTTTGTTAAAAGACACAGCTCAGAGTAGTGAAATCCATACTAAACCACACCTGCAGGGCACCAGCCAATTCCTTCTCCTAACATGGCAGAGGAAGCCTGGGCATAAGGAGAGAAGCCTCTGTGCTTCTGCTCTGATCCGTGAGATTTAAATGGACTAGGGTCAGCATGAAGTTTGGCAGAATTTCTTTAACAGACTGCTCCAACAAGGAGTCAGGCTAAGCAAAAGCCAGAGCTAAATCTCAGGGGAGAAATAAAAGAGAGAAACTAATGATGTCATTTGCCATTCTTTCTTTGTTTTAAAACTTGAATTTATCTTACACTAACTGACATGCCCAACAAGGGTTCCGTTGTATAAAAACATGTGCTGTGATGGGAGAGCTTGTGGTTATTAAAACATAATAATCACAGGTACCTGAACTGAAATCTGAAAATGTCTTTGCCTTGATTTGACTTGGGGAAAATACGAGCAGGGCTCTGAGGCTGCTGCAGGACCTTAATGTCTTAGTCCACTAATGGACAGAGGGACAAAAGCACATTCAGCAGGCAGCAGCAATTAGCAAACAGACCCAGTGTCTGTCTGTCCTGGCTGCAGGGCTGCTCCCAGGGGTCATTATGGATGAGTGTGTCCAAAGGCAGCAGATGTCCAGGGAATGCCATGATGTCTCAGGTTTTGGCTTTTATATTTTTCAGATTCTGAGCTGCTTTAGTGTGTGGGTCTGGGCTCCACATGAGGGGATGCTGAGCTCTCTTCACAGAGCAGGGAGACAAAACAATTCCTGCTCCAGCTGGGCACCAAGGACAAATGATCCAAATCTCAGCCCAGGAGCACAAACACTGTGGGCTGGAGAGACAAAAACAATCAGGGTGGGACTGCCTGGGCTAAAGCTGGAATGGGACAATGAACTCCAAGGTGCCAATGGAGCAGAACTGATCCCAGGGAGAGCCCCCGGGAGCGCTCGTGCATTTTGGGACCATTTTGGTTCATCTTGGGTGCAGCCCTGGCTGGGCTCTGGTGCTGCCCAAGGTGGATCTATTGAGGAGATCCTTTAATAAATCCCTGCTTTATTCTTTAGCTCTGTCTAATGTGTGTTCTAGGTCAGCTTTCTCAAAGCATCAGCCACATGGGACAGAGCAGCTTGTCCCCTGCTTGTTCCCTGCTTGTCCTGCTCACTTCCAGCCCACAGGGCACACCCAGGAGAGATCCCCTCACCAAACACAGGGGGAAAAGGGTGCCAGCACTGCAGAGCTGAGTGCCTGGAAGTTTGGACGTGCCTGAGCAAAGGATGCCTGTGCAGTCTGAGTTCTTCCATTCCTGAGGGTTCATTTTTCTGTCCTGAAGGGCAGGATGGTTCGTGCTCTCTGAACATGCTGCTGTTCCTACATTTGCTTCCTGCTGTCCTTGTTCTGCTTGTTCCCTTTCTTTATTTTCTTGGTGGCACTTCAAACCCTGACCTGGAGACAAAACTATCCATGTATTTTATGTTCCTTCCTCTCGCTCTTGTGGTGTACAGGCTGCTCAGACTGGGATCTTGTTTGCAGAAGCCTGGGAACCCAAATCAAGCATGGATTATTAACTTTATTTAACAAATTAGTAGAAATAGATATCTTCACACATTTTGAGCACTCACTGTGAGCCTTGAGCCCTGCTTTTTCCATTTGTCTGTGGACAGAAATGTGAGTTCAGAAGATGGATCTCACTAACCTCATTTGCAGCTCTTGGTGCTTATCAGCACTGGGAATTCGGATCCAGAGCCCAGCCATCCCAGCAGACCTAAGCAACACTCAGGGAACAGCTCCATGTGAGAAACCTGCCTAAAAAGTGTCTCAAAAAAGGCTGAAGAGGGACTTTTGATGAGAGCATAGAGTGATAGGACAAAGGGAGAATGGATTTAAGCTAAAGGAGGGCAGGTTTAGATATTAACAAGAAATTCTTTGCTGTGGGGGTGCTGAGGCCCTGGCACAGGGTGCCAGAGAAGCTGTGGCTGCCCCTGGATCCCTGGAAGTGTCCAAGGACAGGGTGGACAGAGCTTGGAGCAGCCTGGGATGGTGGAAGTTGTCCCTGCCACGGCAGGGGTGGGATGGGATGAGCTTTAAGATCCCTTCCAACCCAAACCATTCTGTGATTCTGAAATATCTGTGAAGGAAGCAGAGAGAGAATTCAGTTTACCTGGATCTCTTCTCTCAAACATGACAGGAATATTCTCCATCCTCCCTCTCACGTGCTGGATAAGCCTGATTTCTCTCCTGAGTACAAACTGCCTCATGCACAGGGGGAGGTGAGGAGCCTGTGGAAAAAGGTGCACTGCTCCTGCAATTAAAGGATATGATATATGCACTTTAAGGTAAATTGATGTTGCAAAGCAAATACAATACCATGAATACGCCACAATGCACAAAGACTAAAATAGTGGAAAAAACCCAAATAATCAAAATGAAAGCTGGTTCTAAAGAACAGTTCCAAACAGCTGAGTGTAGGTGAGATCCTGAGCTACCCTAAATCATCAGCAGATTTCAGTGGAGCAGCAGTGTTATGCACCACCTGGGACATGCTCTTTGCCTCCTGTTATTTTCTTGCATTTCAGTTCAAAGGAAATGCAGGCAAGTTTGCTTATGAACACTATTCTTCATTAGCAGGCAGAGAAAATTAAACTGCCCTTCTTCATTGTTGCTCCTGCTGCACAATTCTGCTGTATTTGTAATGATATCCATCCGTCTTGTTCCATTTCTGATGTGGATGTCACATCTGGTTTTTTGTTGATGCTCATAAAATATTTACATGCCTGCTGTAGCACTTAAAACTCTCATTGTATTAGGGAATTTCTGTCCTGCCCTGCAGCAATTACATCCATTTTGCTGCACACTGGCTCTGCTGTTGTACCAGTCTTGTTTGTGGAAAGGAAATTGGGGATCCTTGCAGAGTTGTTAGGGGGCATTCTTCAGCTTAGGAAGGATCGGTGACAACTAGAGATAAATAAGGAGTAATTTTAAAAATCGGAAATGGATTCTGGCTAATAGAGATTCTATCAGTCCTCTTGTTCCCCACATTTTCTTTAATAGGAAATACAAAATCCTCAGTGAAATAAAATATAAAAGAGATCCAAGTTCTTTTTTGCTGAATTGCCTTCATTATTTGGCATATAGTTAGAGAATCCTCCTTTTTTTCCCACCAGCGTGGAAGGCAGCTCATTTTGTGGAGTGGCACAGCCCAGTGCAGGGGCCAGCAGGAAACAGCTCCTGCCTTTCCAGAACAGGTTTTTCCCCCCTATCAATAAAGAATGGATTCAGTGAGATAGGGAGGTGAAGTGTCACTCTGTTGCCCAATTATCTATAAATCATTATTTCTACCACCTTTAAAAAATAACCATTTCCTCAATTAGGTGCATTTGTAATACGAGAAAAGCTGTGTGTGATGAATAACCTCCTCTTCCATCAGAAGGGGAAGTGCATGGAAATGATGGATGTGAAGGCAGAGGAGCCACATCACCATGAATTTGTTGCCTCAAGGTGCTGGCAGCTCCTCCTTTGTCCCGGGGCTTTGAGCACGTTTCTGTTCACTCCTGTTTGACCTCTGCCTTTGCTGCAAACCTGAGCTACCCCCTCTCCTCACAAGGAGGTAACAGAGAAGAGGAGTGAGGCTTTCTTAGGCATTAAAGCAAGAGCTGTGCTGGTTTTGCTCTTAAAAATACAGCATTCACACATTTTACTTTATGATACTTTATACACTTCTTCAGTCTCCTCCAAACACTCAAGTACTTGATGAATTCTAAGTTACTGATTTGTAGATTCAGCTGTTACAATTGAAAGCACAATTCCATCAGGCTCTTTGGTCACTTAATCCCACCCACAGCGAACTACAGCCAGGGCATTCCAGGCTGCTGTTTGTCTAATTGTTAATGTGTATGATTGACATCTGACATTGCTTGGGTAGGATTCAGGATATCTTCAGCCTCTGGTTTCCAGTCATGCCTTAAAGAGTTAGAGAACACAGAAATTATCTTTCTGTTTTTCTGGTGATATGTGCCTATGATCGACTTGGTGAGTATTTGCTGTCTGAAATATTGCTCCCTCAATTTATTTTGTATCTCACTGGTTTTTGCAGTTACCCTGAGCAGCTGAAATCCTTGAGTTATGTTTATAGCTATGCTGTTCACTTGATGTTTTAACTCCTGCCTAATATGAATAAAACATGGTGTTAAATGTTTGGAGACCTTCCATCTCCTCAAAGGAGAAAAATCTTCCCGTTGCTTGCCTGATTTCCAGCTTGTGTCTTGTTTTCTGCCAGCCAACGGGACCTCCAGCAGCCAGCTGTCCACTCCCAAATCCAAGCAGTCCCCGATCTCCACGCCCACCAGCCCAGGGAGCCTCCGGAAGCACAAGGTATTACGTTTCTTATACCTTACTACAGCTCCTTCTGCCTCAGCCCCTCAGGTCTGGATGACACTGAGGTCATGGCCAAATCCTCTGGAAGAGTAACAACAACTCTTGATGTTCAAATGCCGGAGCTCACCCTGGGTTGGGGGTGGCTCCGTGTGGTGGAAAAGTCTCTCCTCCCACCCGAGCTTCTAAAGAAAGGCTCAGCAGTCTCTGTTGTTCGGTCTCAAGGCAGTTTATTGCAAGTTATCTAAAAGATTTTCTTCTGGGGCTGCTGTGGTTTGCTCACAGCTCAGGCAGAGGCACACACACACCCTGACATCCTCTCTGACTCCCGACTGCTTCTTCTCTCCCAGCCCAGGGCTGCTGCTGTCTTTTATATGGTCCATTACATGTTACATGGGTACAGTTTGTCCCCAATGCCCATTACCTATATTAAATGGTGCTTTTCTATCTTTTATATGGTACATTACATGTTACATGGGTACAGTTTGTCCCCAATGCCCATTACCTATATTAAATGGTGCTTTTCTATCTTTTATATGGTACATTATGTGTTACATGGGTACAGTTTTTCCCCAATGCCTATTACCTATATTAAATGGTGCCTTTCTACTCTAAACCAATCTGTGAGTGCCAACATCACCAAGAACATGGAGGGAAGGAAGGAGAAAGAGGAAGGACAGGGCAGGCCCAAATCCCTCCATCGTAAAACCTCTGACCCCCATGTACAAAACTAAACCCCCCCCTGTACAGGACTTAAAATTCCCCTGTACAGCACTCAAAAATTCTTCCCTCTACTTTGTAACTACTTCTACTATAATATCTAAACTTTTGTGACTTCTTGTTCTTCCTGCAAGGTTGGTAACTCATTCCATGGTTCAAACCCAAAATCACAGCTGTTTCCAGCTGCCTGCCAGGGTCTCAAATGCTTCTGACCTGGGCCCAGAACATCCAAAAATGTCTGAGGGACATTTTGAGTTCTGACATTCAAACAGGGGTGTTCGGCCCTTTACCTGTAAAAGTTGTACTTTTGGGCAAGGTGGTGAGCAAAGCACTGGCCTGACTCCTCACCTGGAGTTGTTAATGTGTGCTGGAGACATCCAAAGGGATCAGAGGAGACAACTTACCCATGAGCTTGTACCACTGTTTGAAAAAATCATTGATGGATGTGGTTTCATGTCAACCCTCCTGGCCTGAAAAGCCTCAATGTTGCCAAACCAGGCCCATTAAAGAGCAGAAGCAACACAAATGTTACTGCAGCTCTGAGACATCACTTTATGATGCTCCTCAAGAATTTAATTTCTTAAATGATTTAAGGCCATGCTCTGTTTTACAGGAAGCAGGTGATTCTTACAGCTGGTGTGGTAATTGTGTTGTGGAACAGGCCAACAGGTAGCACAGCATCCTGGCAGAGATCAGGAAACCTGTATGGCTCATGGATAATTCATGTATTGATTTATTTAAAAGGTACTGCAGCTGTCACAGCTTTTTCAGTTCCTGTTATTCAGGGCCACTCTGTGCTGAGTTCTGACTTTCATTTCCAAGGGCCTTTGTATTTCTGGGATAGCCACAATGCTGCTTCCAGCAGTTTTCACTTGACAGGGGAACTGGAGCTTGGACACAAATGTAAGTGTGAGAGGAAGTCAGGGGGGTTTCTCCTTAGTAAACAGAATGTACCTCTCAGCCTGACTTTGAAAGCATTGACTCCAAGTTTTTGAAGAGTAATTAAAAAATCCTGGTGGTTTTTCAATCAACATAGAACCCACTGTGGGCCAAGAGTCAGGGGTTGAACTAATTCTGTTTAACAAAGGCATAGCTGAATCCAAATGAAAACTGTTTTCCTTGGGACCTCACTCTGTTCTCAGCTGCTCAGTCTAAGTTTGAGAAAGCACACCAAATTTAACACAATGTATCCAGATTTATTATTAATTTATAATTGAGGACAGAATCTGGCCCATGGGTCATTAGTTGAGCAGAAGTGATGCTGCAAACTGCATCCTTTGCTTCAGCATCAGGGACACAAAATATTTTCTAAACTTTCTATCTCATTGAGAACTTTGGAGGTGAGGATTTGTTTCTCGGTCAAGAGATGTAAAATCACCTTTTTAATGCTTTATGTATGTTTGCAGCTGGCTGATTCATCACCTTTCCAGTGCAGCCCTGAGACCATTTGCAATAGATGGTGACTGCTGAGGGCAAAGCCAGCCCAGCTATGATTTTCTCCACTAAGTTAAGCCAATCAGCAAACACAAATGCAGCATTTTAGGTTACCAGAATATTCATGCATCATTGTCTTTTCTCCCAGGACTAATTTCCTGCTTATGATGAAATCATTTTTCTTTTCTCCCCTTAAAGCTCAAGTGATAAATGCTTAGGTTGAGTTCACCACAAAATCCTAATTTACCACTTCTTATATCAAGATTCCGGTGAATTTCCTTCCTGAATATTTGGGTTTTTCTTCATTTTGCTCACAGTTATTACCTGTGTGTGGGTCAGAGTTCAAAAAGGTCCCAGGAGAGTTTTAGCTCTTGAGCTGGTTCCTGCACCTTGTCCCACTGGACTTTAAACAAGTGGAATAAAATGGTTACCCCAGAAAGGGACACTGGAAAAGCTTTACATTAAGCATTTGATCCAAATGATAAACTTGGGATTATTTTCTTAACCTTTCCAACTGATTAGAAGTTACTTAAAATAAAGAATACACCATGGAACATGTGAATTTCCTGGGTATTTGTCCCGAGGGCAGCTGTCAAACCAAGGTAAGACTCTTTATTTTGGATTCAGGTTTAAAGAGATGTGTTTAAGGCACAGTGCTGCTCTTTCATGCATGTGCTGGAATGGCCAAATTGATCCAGAACAATAAACTTATCCCTGAACAGTCAGCAGGAACAGAGATGCTTTTGCTGGAATGGACACATTGATCCAGAACAATCAAAAAACACTTCTGAAATTTATCCCTGAACAGTCAGCAGGAACAGAGATGCACTTGCTGGAATGGACACTTATTGTAAATGCAGGCGAACCCAATGGGAAGAAATGACAATGTCTGACTCAATTCAGAAGGCTGAATCATTTCTTTATTATAACTATGCTAAAATACATTAATATACTATATAAAAGGAGGATACTAAAACTACACACTACTTTCTCTGACTCTAACTCTCACACAACTCATGACCCTCTCTGAGAGTCCAGCCCCAGGTGGGTTGGATTGGCCATCAGCTCAAACAATCCTCACCAGAATCCAACCAAGCACTCACCCAGGTAAACAATTCTCCAAACACCTTCCCCATAGGAAAAGCAAGGAGCAGAAATAGAAATTGTTTTCTCTTTCATTTCTCTCTGTGCACCTCTATGAAAAATCCTGAGAGGGAGAGAAATGTGCTTGCCACAGACACATTGATCCAGAGCAATAAAAAAACATTTCTGAAACTTATCCCAGAACAGTCAGCAGGAACAGAGCTGCTCTTGCTCCTCTGGGCAAGGAGCCTGCCTTGATTTCAGCCTGGAACTCTCTGGATTCTGGTGAGCCTAGCCCAGTCACCAGCACATCCCACCCTCTGCAATGTGAATTTTAGCCTCTGAGCTGCCCAGAGCCACTCGGCTGCTTCCCTTTGCATGGCCAAGGGTGGGAGCTGATGGTGAGGGTTAACATTTTCTCCTTTCTCCCTACAGGACTTGTACCTGCCTCTGTCTTTGGATGACTCGGACTCCCTGGGAGACTCCATGTAGAGCGGGATGTCCACCCTGCGTTTGGGATGCAGCAAAGTTCCTCTGCCACAACAAGCAGATCGCTGACTGGTGCTTTCAAGTCAAAGGACACACGGTTAAATGTCATTTTTGTTCTGTGATTTCTCCTCTCTGTGCCACAAACCAACACCTGCCAGTCTATAGAGATAGAGGGATACCATTCTTCTAAGTTACAGGGGTGCAAAATGGGCATTGTGAGAAGTTTGGGGCCATCGTGGCAACGATTCTGTGCATTTCCCATTTTCTTCTATTGTTTCTTCTGCTGCTGCAACCATGTGGTTTTCCCAGTGTTAGTAAAGTAGTTCCCCTGGAGGTGTGCAAGTGAACCCTTTGCTGAGCAGTTTGCAAGCTGGAGCAGGGCAGTTGATGTTCTCCACCTGGGCAAACTGCCAGCCTCTGCCAGCTCACCTGCTCCTCATTCACAGCCCCACTTTTGGCACCTGCATTCTAAAGAGTCTTGGTTTTATTGTGGAGGGCAGGAAGGGAATTTCTAGTTTGATATTTAATATGCCAGCAGATGCTTGGATGAGATAAGGAATGATTGTGTAGATGCTAAGTAAGGTTAGTACAATAATTCAAATTATTCAAATATTGTTTGGTTGTTTGTTTTTTTTTTTTAATAATTAAGCAAAAAACCATAAATCAGCTGAGTTATCTGGAGTAGAACACCTTCCACATGCAATGCTGCTAGCTGGTAACAAATATTTATACCTCCCCTATGGTATCTCTCTATCTCTGTTTGTAACAGTAATGCCTTGTGAACAGCCAACACTGAAAACACTGTGAGAATTTGTTTTCAGGTTTGACACCCTATAGGTCACTTTTTATAGCAAAAAAATCAATACACTTTTTATAAAGGAAAACCTTGTATCTGTGTTTTGGGAGTAAGGATTCAAGCTCCTTCTTTTTTATAAAAGCTGGTAATTTTCTTTTGTTTAAAAAACATGTTCAGAAAAAAAAAGTACAAAAAAAACCAACCACAACTGCAGAACAATAATAACAGCAACTCAGTTTAGAAATCTTGTCATCACTGCCAAAACAGACATGTGTAGGGGGGGAAAAATGGTCAATTCAAAATATTGAATGTTTTGATAGTTTTTGTAATGTTTGAGACTACGTATTTGGTTTTTTACACTTCAGTATTCCTAACTATGGCCAGATTCTTTACTTATATAACAAATGAAGTTTTGTGGTGGTCTAAACACCTGTATTTTAAGAAACTCTTCTATCTGAGAAAAACAAACTCGCTGTATTTAGAGAAAGCTTTTGCTTTTATTAATCAGTAATGCCTCCTCCCGAATGCAAAGTTCATCTCCTCACGCAGGGCTGGTGGTTTTTACTGCGCCAAAGCTTCGTCCTAGGCCAGCTGCCATTGCCTCCCTCCCCCATGGAATAAGCTTTGATGAAACTGATTCTTGCAGAACTTTACCTAAATGAAATCTGTGCAATCAAGTCTTTCTTTGTTGCTCTATTTGCTTTTTTTCTCCTTTTTCCCAACATAGACACCTACTCCCTGTTGCCTTGCAACCCCTTGTGATTAGGATGGATTTTATCCTTGTGATGTTTGATGCTCCATGAATGCTGGGTTGTTCCCAAAGCCACTCCACATTTTGTTTGCTTGCATTGCTGGTTTGAAACAATCTGTGCAGGCTGCATCTTTTGATGCTCGTGTGAGCACACTTATAATGCAACTTTTTAAAAAGAGATTTATCAGAGAGAGGCCAGGATTGGGAATTGTCAAGGGGTCAGAGTTATCATGCACCAGATTTGCACCCAACAGTCTTAGTGCATGATCATTTACACCCAGAGTTTTGCACAAGGAGCCATTTGTTCTCATTGATAGCTTCATTTGATTGAATAACTCTCTGACTGCACAACTGCTAAATGGTCATTTTTAAATACTGTAAATAGAATCCTGGGGTTAGTTCACAGGCTAAGGGCTCGTTGAGGGTTTGTGAGGGGAAGGATGGTGCTGTGGACGAAGTTGGGTGCAGCAGTCAGCACACCTCTAAGCCCTTGGCATTGCTGAATTTCGTGTCTGAATGGGAGCAGGTCTCTGAGTAACCCTGTGCCTCAATCTGTCTGTCTGTCCCTGCAGGGACAGCTCTGTTCTACCTCACTGGGGGTTGTGAGGCCAAATGTTGGTTAACATTTGTCAAGTGCTTTCAGATCCTCTAACAGAAGGTGCTGAAATATTCTGGGTGCAGATTTGGTTATGGGTGCTAATTTTTTGGCTGTTTAATCCTGTGAGTGCTACTGTAGACACTGGTCATGAGCAAAATCCTTTTTTAAGCATAAGGATATCAAAGGCCTTGGTTATGCTAATCACAATATTATTCATCAGAGCTTTTGTCTTAGGGAAAGCTGTAGTGAGACAGATAACTTGACATGCTTTTACCCTCTCTGTTCTGCTGGTGGAAATCTCAGAGTTCCTTCCTGAGTCTCTGCCCCTCCAGGGACCCTGAGCAATAGCCATGGATGGAACTGCTGTCACACAGTGACAGAGGCCATTCCTGTCACAGTCAGGGGGAGCCTGTCCTGCCACCTTTCCTCAGATGAACAGGAGACCAGCCATGCAGTCCCACCCAGGTTCTCGTGCTGCTCAGTGCAGGACACTCACCACAGATCCACCAGGAAACCCAAATCCTGGCTGCTCTCTGCAGCCTGAGCTGCTGGAGCTGCTGGTGGGAGGAAGGGAATCTGGGAGATGCTCTCAGCCCGTGTGTGTGAGTGCAGTTTGCAGGATCCTGAGGGAGGAATGATCCTTTGTTTGGATGGCTGTTGAGAAGGGGTTCCTTTCCTTCCTGCCAAAGGCTCTGTTTGGTTATTTGGAGATGCTTTTCCTGCGGGAGCATCACTGAGGAATCACTGAGCTCTCCCTCCTGAGCTGCACCTGGTGGCACATCTCAAACCTACTCCTGCCAGCTCTCCCTTGGGAATGCAGCTTTGTTTGCATGAGGATCATCCTGTGGTGGGGCTGAGCCCAGCAATTCCTTCAGGGAATTAGGGGGACCTTGAAAAGGCCTAAAAGAATTAAAGTTAATTGTTCAGTGGGAAAAATAGCCATTCAAACCAGCAGAAGCCACAAAGAAAACAGGGTATGAGGTCAGAATCCCAAGTTTTAAGAAGCAATTTCTAGGTAGAAATGCCTGGGCAGTAGAAGTCAGTGAGCATTTCAGCTGTAGCATAGAGTGAAGTCTGTATTAATGCCAATATTGCATGAATTCTTGTACAGAAATGCATGTGGAATGTTACATACATTCAAAACTAGTTATCTTTGGCTTTGTAGGATCCCTCATCTAGATTTGAATACAAAGAGAAACAGTGCACAGGCATCAGAGCTTTGTTACTTAAACAGAAGGACAGCCCTGATTCAGGAAATAACTTAAAAGCTTAAATTTTAGCACGTGCTTTACTCCTGTTGACTTTTCACGAGATTAAGCTTGGGTTTGGTCAGAAGGCTTTCCTGAACTGCTGTGAATTAGTAATTACTTCCAATTTACTATAGCAATTCCAGACCCTGTGAGATCCTGGAGCAGATGATAGTAATTCCACTATATACTCCAGAGTTCACCTTTCATATATATTTTTTTTTTACATTTACAAGCACATAAAGCTCCACATGATATGAGGATTTGCCATATTAATTCTGTTATAAATCTCTGTCTAATTTGCCTCATGAGGCTGCCTTTAGTGCTTTCAGAGACTAATTGAATCACTGAGACTACATTGTTTTAAAACAATACAGTATTTAAAAACAAATTGGAGAAACTCTTAAAGTAGCAGGGCTTAGTTTCTTTGAAATCTGTCTTTATTCAGAATAATTTAGCAAATTTGCATAGTAAGATCCCTGTCATAGTCATTAGGAAGGAATAGTACAGACAGAAGGGTTTAGCATTTTTACACTCAGGTGATGGTCTTGACTGTAGAAGATGAGAGCAATGCAGCAAAACCTTCAACCTTGGGATTTTAATCACTTGTAAAGCATTTATAATCCTGAAGTTTCTGGTTTAAAGCCTCATCTGGTATATGATTTGGAGCTAGTTCAGTTCCACCAGCTAAATATCTTGAAGTGATTTGGAAAGAGTTTGATAATGGGATTTTGCTTTGTGGTGGGAGTTGGAAGCAGCTTTTCCCTACCACTGTCTGTGTTTCCAATATCTGCACATTATTTATTGTCTTCTCAGGAGCTAGAAACCCTAATTGTGTTATTTCCATAGACAGTAGAAGAATCCTGCTTAGAAAACAGCTTCTACATCTCACCCTCAGCTCACACCCATGTAGGCATACAAAGAACCAACACACTTGGTCGAGCTGCTATTTCTCTCTCATTTGCTTGTTCAGTACTTCTGAAGGGGAAAAGAGGTAGAACCAAAAATTGTGGCAAACAGCAAAGCAGTGTTACACCCAGGCATTTCCAAGGGCATTAAAGTGTTCGTTTCTCCTTATCCAGATGGATAACATTTTCTAGGATGCCTTGTCTTTGCTTTTTCATGCCTTTGGGGTCAGTGCTGCTCTTCCTGCTGCTTCCCAGCACACCCTGTGGGAGTGCTCTGGGATTCCAGCTGAATCCCTACCCAGACACTGCTCCAGGGACAGCCATCCCTGGAAGTGACATCTTCTCTGCAGGGGCCCAGTGTGGGTTTTGCAGCCTGAGCCGTCCCCAGTGTGCTGGGAGCACCGGAGTGATTTTGTCGCTGACCTCTGTGGTGCCCAACAGCCATGCAAAGCAAACAAGGGTTCTCTTCCACTGTAGTAGAGGCAGAATCATTCTTAGAGAAAGGGATAAAAAATAGCCAAGTAAAGTAGATATAAAATTAGTCTAGAAAGTGTCTCCTCAAGCTAAGACAATCCATAACCAGAGAAAAGCTCTGTAGAGGTGTGTTTGCTGCATGCCAGGTGCTGATCACGACCATGATGGAACAAAACAGTTCTTTTCCCATGTGGTGACTTAGGCTCCAGGTCAATTTTCTGGTTGCTGATGGAAGCAGGCGGGGACAGTGTTTGGTACTGGCAAG